CTCGACTAAACCTTGATGTTCTGCCTCTGACCTTTGACTTATGGGTGTCAATCTGCACTGAACATTCAGCTTTCAAACTCGGGTCGGCTCAGACGATGCGGGCCGGGTCGGCCACATAACGGAGGAGCATTTATCTGGATGTTCCCTCCTGCTGGTCGGGTCGACCCGGTTCTACTGGAACCGGAACGTCTAACATTTTCCGCTGCTGTGGTTCTCAAACACTTTGCGCAGTCTGCTCTGGTTCTGGTCCAGTTGGTGGTTTGTTATCAGGACCAGCAACTGGACCGGAACCAGAACCAGACCTCTAGGTTCTGCTCCGGATCTGGACTGTCCTAGAGGAAAGGTCAAAGGCCACGTCAGCCGAAGGTTCTGGAGGAGTCGGGTTCTGTTTGTACCCGGCGGGACATCCGCCTGCTGGGCGCCCAGGGACCTCTCCGTTTCCACGGCAATGGACACGTCCTCCATCAGCTCGTCCACCAGGTCGCCGACGCACAGCTGCAGCGGGAGACAAGGAGCGTCCAATCAGAGCGCAGCGGCCCCGCCCGGCTCCGATTGGCCGCCCACAGACCTTCTGCAGTTGAAGCTCCACCCTCCAGATCCGCAGCGTCTGGTCCCGGGACCAGGTCACCAGCTGGAAGTCCCTGGACCCTGGGGGACAGGAGACATTGACTGTCCGCACTTGGCCATCTGAGGGGGCGGCGGACGGCGGACGCTCACCTTCCTTCTGGGGACGCCACTGGAACTCCAGGACGACGTCATCGTGTCCAACGAAGGCGTGGACGGGACTGTTGAGGTCCAGAACGCTCCACAGCAGGAGACTGTTCTCCCGCCGCAGCTGAGGGACCATGACGGTGACGAGACCACTGGAGAACGGCTGGGACAGACGGGGACAGGGTGAGACAGAGGGACGGGGACACAGACAGGGACAGAGACGAGTGTGTCTCACTGTGTAGCGGGCCTTCCACACTGGCACCTGGCAGGACAGGACGCTCAGGTACTTCCTGGGCTGCCGGTAGTCCCAGAACTGCAGACAGAAGAGGAAGGACGTCTTGTCAGGATGCCGTCCTGACAAGACGTTTAGGACGCCGTCCTCACCCTGACGGAGTTGTCCTGGCTGGATGTGGCGAAGACGAACTCGTTGTCTCTGTGCCAGTCCAGGCCGTGGATCTTGGACAGGTGAGCAGCCAGGTACTCCACCGCCGTGTTGGGTTTCTGTTCAGACGGGAGGACAGGTCAGAGGTCGTCGAGCTGCCAGACCCGTCCCAGAACCCGCAGGACATCTCACCCTCTTGTCCCAGATGCGGACGTCTCCGTCATGACTGGACGCCAGCAGGTGTGGGTTCTTCCGGTTCCACTTCACCTGAGCAGCTCCAGCTGGTGGGACGGCGGGACAAGGACGGTGGGACAGGGACGGAGGGACAAGGACAGTGGGACAGGGACGGAGGGACAAAGACGGTGGGACAGGGACGGCAGTCAGCAGTGGGTTCAGGGAACTTGGGAAGGTTTTAGGTGGAGGACTCACCGACAGCAGACAGCGCCACCGTGGGTTTCCGAGTGTCCCTGTGGAGCCAGATAGAGACATGAGGACAACAGGTCCAGTGTCTTCTGAGACCGGTTCTGGTCTGGTTTTCCTCCTACCTGGTGTCCCAGATGTAGATGTAGGTGTCCACTGAGCTGGACACCAGCAGCTCTGAGTCGAACCAGGACCAGTCCAGGTCGCTGCCAGGATAATCACAGTGAGTCTCACCTGTCCCCACCTGTGGACAAGTGTGCTTGCTTTGTGTCTGTCACCTGATGACCCGGGTGTGTCCCTGCAGGGATGTGTGAGTCTCTCCACAACCGTCCCTCCAGGAGTACAGGTCCACTCGCTGGTTGCTCTGGAAACACAGGAGGGACATTCAGGACCTGGACCCCACCGTCACTCTGCTCCAACATGGTGGTGGCAGCATCATGCCTGGATGCGACTTCATGAAATGGGTGAAACCATAAACGTCCGGGGATTCGTTCATCGGTCAGTAATGGCTCTAAGCCTCCGATAGAAGCCTGTTCGGACCAGACCGGACCACAGCAGAACTCACCGAGGCAGCAAAGACATGAGCCTGGGACCGATGCGGGTTCCACTGGACCGTCCCCACGTCCCACTTACTGTGGCGGCCCATCTTACGGGACGGCTCGGTCGGAGCGTCCAGGTTCACCAGGTAGAGGGAGTGCCGGCTGGACGGGGACACAGAGACAGATGTGTCAGAGAGACAGACGGGTCAGAGACAGACGGGTCAGAGAGACAGACGGGTCAGAGAGACAGACGGGGACAGCAGCTGGTGATGCTGTCAGACATTGAACATGATCTTTTAAAAGAGACAAAGATCATATCACTGGTTCCATTGGTTCTGCTGGTTCCATTGGTTCTGCTGGTTCCATTGGTTCTGCTGGTTCCATTGGTTCTGCTGGTTCTGTCTCTCAGACAGGATCCAACAGGCTGGTTTAGAACTGATTCAGAACCAGTTTGGCTGGTTCCAATGTCAGAGCTGTAGGAGCCGTCTGCGCTGGACCAGAACCCACCTTCCTGTCCTGCTATGAACACCTCCAGTACCAGAACCAGAGCTTTGATTTACTGCATAGCCAGGGTACAAATCGGTTATTCATGATTGATCAGGTAATTTCTTTTATTTGACCGTTGAATCTCTTTCTATACAAAATTTAAAATATGATGAAATGCAGACAAATGATTTAAGGAAGGAGTCAGAACCCGATCTACAGGAATGGACCGGCAACCGGAGCTTACCCTGACAGCACGGCGTGGGAGCCCAGGCAGTCCACGGACATGGCTGTGGCCTGGAACACAGTACAGACCACAGGTCAGAGGTCAGCTCCCAACGGCCCTGACCTGCAATCCAACATGGCCGCCCCGCTTGCAGATATGCCGTCTTGCTTGCAGCTGCAACCTGTGAACATGTGGTCAAATCTGCTTTTCTTCAAAAACTAATGACCCTGGACACCATGGTTACTGTAGCAACCACATCCTGGAGGCTGGAAATGGTTGCTGTGATGACAGCCGTCTGTTGTCACGTGACTCAACATTGGCTGAAAGTTGCCACACATATCCTGCACAGGAAACCACGTGATCGGAACCATTCAGATAAACTACTGCAGATACTGCGGCTCAGTTCGGACTGTTGCGGAACCCGATTAATCCGGATTTGCGTTCGGTTCGCCAGTTGAACTGTTCTCAGCAGCTTCCGGTCAGAAACATCTGGGTCGGCTCAAAGAGTCACACACCTGAGCGTCCCGAAACTCCACCACCACAGTCTCGCTGCTCCACCGCGCCGCCATCTTTCCTCCCCGTCTCACTGTCAACACAACGCCACGTGACCTTCAGGCCCTGCGGTGATATGTTCAATGGCGGCGGGTTCCTCAGATTCAGAACATTAAATAACTGGGTCACAGCAGGTTCCGTAGATCTTGATGACAAATTATTAAACCATCCAGCTCGTTGTTAACCCTACTACTTATGGTTTTAACTTCGAGTTTTCATCATTTAATTACATTATTTTATTTTTATTATATACGCATTTATAGTTTTAAAGGTAAATGAAATTTTGATAGAATAGTTCGTTCAGGACAGAACAGTGACAAAAAGGAACATACATTTCCTATTTTTTCCACCTGAACACCTTTCAGATCAGCTCAACAAGGTAAAAAGTAACAAAGTAATCAAAATTCCGACACTCGTGATGTATTTAAAGCACTCAGGCGTCAGATGGCTGTTTCCTCGCCTCTGATTGGCCGCTGCATCTGCTGGCCAAGATGGCGCCGACCCTGGTAGAGCATGTTGTCGCGGACGCTGGAGCGTTTTTAAAACAAGCCCCGCTGCAGGTAAGTCTGTCAGGAGAGGACAGGTAGTCAGTGGGCCGCTGGTGGTGAAGCTCCGGCCGCGGAGCAGACGCTGCTGAGCGGACCGATTCTGACGTCTGTAGCCTGAAGCTGGTTCTGGTCCCGGACCAACAGTGTTAGGATCTTCGTCATAGCGATATCAGAACCCGTCCCGCTTCGTCATAGCGGGATGGGTTCTGGTACCATTTGCTCTGAGATCAAGCCGTGTTACCACGGCAACTTGAGTGGCTTTAACTGTGACGTAAGACCTGATGACGTGCTTGTTTCCGCTGCAGGAGTTTGGCCAGAACATTTACACCCTGCGGGAGGTTGTGGACGAGATTCGGGACAGAACCACACGGAGGAGTCTGGCCGTCCTGCCGTACCAGCTGACCTTAAGAGAGCCGAACCCGGAGCACATCAGAACCGGTACGTACCCGAAACTGCTACCCGACCCAAAACACGTCCGAACCGGACCTTAAAACCAACTGTAAACATGGTGGACCCTCGAACTAATTACTCATTTTCAAATTTTTGTCATTTATGTTTTACATGCCGCTATCCACCCCGGCCTGGAGACTAGCTGTGGAAACACAGATGGGTCTTACTTCCGGTCACCACGGAAGTAGTAGTATTCACAGTAATTTGTAGGGTTTTTTTTTTTTTTTTTTGCTAACCTCTATTCAAGTTATATTTCCGTTTGTGGCTGTTTTCTAATAATAAACCAAGATTAGTTTGTGGCAGCAATAAGTGTGCTGTGAGCGTGTTTCCGTAATTAGCGATAGGATACAAAAGAAATCCAAAGTGCTGGTTCATTGTGTGGACAAAAAGCAACGGAGGAAGACCCGCGTCTGTACCGGAAGACTTCAGCAGCTTCCGGTTCTGAACCCTCTGAGTCAGTGAAGTTGTTAACTCCGCTAGTGCCGGGAGCTAACAGCCCCGCTAGTGAATATATCCTACCGCAGGTATCGGTCAACGCTATTGCCACATTTAAATTGACTAGCAGGTGTTCCCACTTGAAACCTCTTTGAAAACCAGTTAGCGAGTTGCTAACTGTAATCAAATGGCGGTCCTGGTTCGTGGCAAAAGTGCCATAATTCACGCAAAGCCTGAATTACGTTAATTCCCCCTTATTACCAACTTGGACTTGAACTTGGTGGGTTCGGTCTTTCAGTCATATACTTTTCTTGTGAGAATTATACTGAACGTCCTAGAAACTCTGTTATCTAAAGCAGAACCTGTCAAGACTGGTCAAACTGTCACTAATAGAACCCAAGTGAAGTTTCAGAGTTCTGGTTTGGTGAAGTTCTGACCCGGTTTCAGTGATCGAGTTCTCCAAGAAGACAGGCGACTACTCCAGCCTGTCTGCCACCGACATCAAGGTTCTTGCGCTGACATACCAGCTGCAGCTGGAGCACGTCGGGTCGCAGAACCTCAAGGCGGAACCGGACCTGAAGGTACCAGCCCAGGTCCCCTTACAATCGGCAGAACCCGCCCAGATCTCTGACCCGTTCCTCTGTTCCAGGTGACCATCCAGAGCACACAGCGCCACCCAGAGGCTCCGGTCCACATCGCGGGCTTTCACTTTCCCTCCAGGTATGGACCAAAGCCGGTTCTGGTTCAGGTTCTGGAAATCTGAGTTTTCTTCCTGTCTCTTCAGAGGACTGTGAACGCCACAAATGCCAGACACACTGGGTCGGAACCATCCACTCAGATGGACCCGGACCAGTTCAACAGCTTCCAGTTCTGGAGGCAGCCGCTACCGAGCCTGGAGGGAGACCTGCTGGACCTGCTGGTGGGTGGTGGTTCTGAAGGCAGATCCGGTGGCCCTATGGTGCTAAACGGTTCTGGTTCTGTTCCGTCAGGATCTGACCGATGCGGTCCAGCAGCCAGACATCCCAGTGTCTTCAGGGACAGACGAAGACTTCAGCAGCTTCCGGTTCTGGAGAGACCCGGTTCCCAGCGTGGACCAGGACCTGCTGGCCCTCCTGGTGAGTCTTCATTGGCGACCCGGTCCTGCTGGGCCCGATTTCCGCCGCGAGGCAGCCGCTGAACTGTTAGTTTACAGGATGTGGTGGCGCCTCGTCTCAGGTGGAGGAGAAGAGGGCGGAGCCTGGGCTGGCAGAGGACCAATCACAGGACGACAATGATGATGATGATGGCTGGATCACTCCCAGCAACATCAGGCAGGTGAAGATGGAGTCGTCTGATTGGACGGAGGCGGCTGACGTCAGAGTGGGTGCCTGACCACCGACTTCGCCATGCAGGTGACTCTGTCGGTTCTGCTGGATTGGTTCTGCTCGGTCCGGCCTCTAACCTGTCTCTCTCTCCAGAACGTTCTGATCCAGATGGGCCTCCATGTTCTGTCCGTCGGCGGTCTGGTGATCCGCCGTGCCCGCAGCTACATCCTGCGGTGCCACGCCTGCTTCAGGTAAGCCGTCGCAGAACCGCCTGGTGCGTTGCGGCCCACAGGCTCGGCTGACCCGGTTTGGTTTCCGGTTTGGTTTGCAGGACGACCAGCAACATGAGCAAAGTGTTCTGCCCTCACTGCGGCAACCAGACCCTGAAGAAGCTGGCGGTTACCGTTGGTGATGATGGCAGCATCCAGATGCACTTCTCCAAAAACCCCAAGATCATGAACCCCCGAGGAACCAGGGTGAGACGCTTTGACCTTTAACCCCTGTATAACCTTCAGGTGGGTCAAACTCCACCTGCAGGTTCTGCTGTTGTCAGAACCGGTTTGGGGCCCAAGGCTGCCAGACAACGTTCCTGCTGGATGGAAGGGTTAAAGGTTAAATTAGGAGTCCAGTTGAACCAGAACCACAGAGCCGTCTAGACCAGTAGCCACAGTTCTGCCAGCTGATTCAAACCAGTTGGTTCTGGAGGTCCAGGTGTGGCTGGTAGAACTTTCCTCAGACAGGAAGCAGCGTGCTGACTCTGATTGTGCGTCCCGTCCGCAGTACTCGCTGCCGCTGCCTCGCGGTGGGAAGCACGCCGCCAACCCCCACCTGGTGGAGGACCAGCGCTTCCCGCAGCAGCGGCTCTCCAGGAAGGCCCGGCAGAAGACGGACGTGTTCGACCCGGACTACGTGGCCGGAGTGTCGCCGTTCTGCCAGAACGACGTCTACAGCCGCGCCGCTAACCTGCAGATCCGCGACGGGCAGAGTGGCGCCGGCCGCAGGCGGGTCAACCCCAACGCCGCCCACAGGAAGTTCCATAAGAAGAAGTGATGGAACCGGGTCCAGCCCGGCTCTGGACTTTGGTTTCAGATCATGAAAAAGAATTTCTCACTCATGTTTTCAAAACTCTGAACATCTTGTAGGACTTTTCCAGAACCCGTTTCATTTCTTGGCTCAGAACCTCCTGCATAAATAAATGCTTCTTTATTATTGCTATTAAATTTAGTTTGAACGCTTCTGTGTAGTTCTGCTGTTTGGCCACCAGGTGGCAGAGTTTGAAAAACACAGCAAGACATACAACTGAGGTTTTAATGAACAGAGGAAAGTTCGGTTCTCACAGCTGTACTTCAAGATCCCGTCACCCACAATGATTCTGCAAGTCCATCAGAACCCTGCCGAGGTTCTGGTTCTGGCCCGTCACTCTGCATCAGCCTCCAGTTCTGCTGGAGTCTCTGTGCGGCCCGGCTGAGAAGGTTCCCTTTCTGGTTCCGGCTGAGTGAGCGAGCCCTGCTCGGCTGGGATGTCGGCTCCAGTAGCAGCGGTTCTGGTTCTGGTTCCTTCTGAGGGAGAATGAAGTCCAGCGGCTGCAGGATGGCAGAGACGTCGATGCGGCCCAGATCGCCGTACTTGTGCAGCTGAGACACAGGAACACCTAGAGAGAGAGAGACGCCGCGATCAGAACCCACTGCATTTCCTCCAGGTGTGACGCGGCGGGCCACTTACTCACCCAGAACCAGCGCCAACTGGGCCGGAGGGAACAGAACCTGCAGGCAGCGGCTAAGGAAGGGCAAAAGGTCGTCAGCGAATGATGAACAGAACTGGACGAACAAATCCTCCTCTCTGCTGCTGAAGGCCGACTGCTCGGCCCGGTGGAACGCCACAACGACACGGGTCACCTGCAGGAGGAGTCGGGTCAGAACCAGGACCAGAACCAAAGCTAACCCACAGCATCAACAAATGCCTTTTAAAGTTAATGTGGAAATATGGCATCCAAAATGAAAGAACTTTGATCATTTATTTGATGTAATATTTCAAATCTAATCCTGATTTTGGGAGGGGCGTGGCTTATTGCGTGAGAAGGAGGCGTGGCTCCAGTCCAACTCACCGTCCTCAGGGCGTCTTCCAAGCTTCGGCTGACGTCCTGGGCCGCCCCCAGGGGGCAGCAGAGCCGCAGGTCGTTGAAGGCGCTCAGGACGTGGTTGAGGAAACAGGCCAGCGGCGGGAAGTCCAGCAGGGCGGCGGGGGGCTGCAGGGTACCAGGCTGTACACCGGGGGCCGCAGGGGCCAGTGCGCCCCCCAGCGCCACTGGCAGGGCCACCAGAGTGTAGCGGTTCATGTCCTCCTGGAAGCGGTCCACCGCCTCTTGTAGCGCCGCCTGGAAGGCCTCCAGCGCCACCTGCTGGAATAGCGGCGCCAGCTGGCCGCGGAAGTCGGCCCCCACTCTGCTGAAAGACAGGCCGAAGTACATGCACTGGCCCAGCAGCGAGTCCAGTCGGGGGCCCACGCCGCGCAGCAGGTCCCTCTGCAGCGTCACCAGGAACTCCGCCACCTTCTGCGCCACCCAGCCGTGGAAGATGGCCGCCTCCCCCTGGGTGCCTTGGGGATCCGGGGGGCCCGCCAGCGGGTCGTCGTCAGAGAAGATGGCGCGATACTGCGTGATGATGTCGAACAGGTGGACCCGACACGCCTCCACCGTCTTGGTGATGTGAACGTAAGGATCGTCGTCGGGGACGGCGTCCAGCACGGAGCTCAGCCAGCCGCCGCGCGCCTGCAGGAACTTCACCCGGAGCTCCGCCTCCGTGAACACGTCCATCCGCCGCAGGTAGCCAATCACGCGCAGGCACACGGGCAGCTGGGCGTTGGAGCGCAGCTGCTGCAGCAACTGGTTGAGCATCAGCTGCGCCGCCTGCCGCACGTCCCGCACGATGTCCTGCAGAAGACACCGCAACATCAGACCTGCTGGAGGACACTCGTCCATCAGTGACGGGACGCAGGCCCGCTGTCCATGCTCACCTGGATCACAGGTAGCGCGGCGTGCTTCCTCTCCAGCCGGCGGACATAGGCAGCCAGCTCCAGCGCTTCCTCGTAGTAGCCGTTGCGGACGCAGGTGTCCATCAGCTGCGGGATCTCCAGGATCTCCAGGATCTCCGTGTGCCGGTTCAGAGTCAGGCTGTTCATCCGCCGGCTGACAGCGATCTGCTCCGCTTCCGTCATGAAGGTCCTGAGGAAACAGCGGTCAGTCTGGAAGGTTCCTAGTCTGGACGTCTCAGATGCCGGTCAATTTGATTCTCCATTAACTCCATAGATGACAGTCTGGTCCCGATCCGACACATCGATCGGATCCCGATGGATCCGATCAGACACATACTGATCCGATCATTTACCACTAAAAGTTAAAACGTGTTAGAAACCATTCAGTGGTTCCGTCTCTGTAAACCTGGTCAACATACTTTGTGCTCCCACAGATTAAAATCAAATCAAATCACATCAAATTTTATTAGTATAGCACATTTCAGCAGCAAGGCATTTCAAAGTGTTTTACATCATAAACACAAAGTTATAGAATAAACAATACATTGTTACATATTACATTTCAAATCAAACTCTAATCAGCTGGTTTTTAGTTGAGATTTAAAGGAAGTCAGGGTTTCTGCTGTTTTACAGTTTTCTGGAAGTTTGTTCCAGATGTTTGGCGCATAGATGCTGAAAGCTGCTTCTCCTCTCTTGGTTCTGGTTCTGGGGATGCAGAGCAGAACCAGAACCAGAACCTGAGAGTATGTTTTCTGATCAGTGAAGTTGTGTGGTGAAGGTCCACATGTGTCAAAGTCAAGGCAATAAACGAAAACAGGAATGAACGTCCGTAAACATTGTATTGTGGTGCTAAACTGTAAACTAACAGCAGTATTTTAAAATCTATTCTTTGAGCTACAGGGCCAGTGGAGGGACTTTAAAACTGCTGTTATGTCTCTATCTTCCTGGTTTTAGTGAGAACAGGAGCAGCAGCTTCTGGATCAGCTGCAGCTGGAGGATTGATTTGTTGGACAGGCCTGTGAAGACACTGTTACAATAATCAATGCGACTAAAGATAAACACATGGATGAGTTTCTCTAGATCTGGTTGAGACATTAGTCCTCTAATCCTGGAGATGTTCTTCAGGTGATAGAAGGCTGACTTTGTTACTGTCTTTATGTGGCTCTGGAGGTTCAAGTCCGAGTCCATCACTACTCCCAGGTTTCAGGCTGATCGCTAGTTTTTAGTTGTAATAACTGGAGCTGTGCATTGACTCTAGATCTATAGCTCTAGATCTATAACTCTAGCTCTATAGCTCTAGGTCTATAGCTCTAGATCTATAGCTCTAGCTCTATAACTCTAGATCTATAGCTCTAGATCTATAGCTCTAGATCGTTCCTCTTTAGGTCCAAAAATAATGACTTCAGTTTTGTTTTCGTTCAGCTGGAGAAAGTTTTGCCACATCCACACATTTATCTGTTCTAAACATTTATTCAGTGATTGGATGGGGTCAAAGGTCACCTGGTGACATCATAATGTAGAGCTGTGTGTCATAGTTATGGTAGCTAATATTATTTTCTGCTATATAACCCGAGCTAGTGGGAGAACCCGGTCTTGGTTCTGGGTTTAAACTAACAGTGGACCGATACCGACCTGCACCTCTCTCCGAACCGGGGCAGCTTGTCCAGCAGCCGGGACACGCTGCCCTCCACCCGGCCGAAGTCCCGGTAGATGTGCTCGGTGCAGTCCGCGGTTCGGATGAAGGTCTGGTAGTTGGAGAAGGCCAGCTCCCGGGTCTGCTGCAGGATCTGGTTCCGCTCCTCGGCCAGCCGCTCCGGCTCCCGGCCCAGTTTGTCCAGGCCGCAGGCGCTGAGCTCGGACAGGTAGGCCGAGAAGTCCGGGTTGTCCCTCCAGCTGTCCGGGAAGCTGTCCTTGAACACGGACACCAGGATGCTCTCGTCCTCCACGTCCATGGTGCCGCAACCGGAACCGCTGGTCCGACCGGGTCCGAGCCTCAGCTTCGCTTTCTGGGCGGAAGTGACAACCACTTCCGGTTCCTGCTTCTTCTGCTTTAGCAGCTGGTTCTGATGCGCTGCACCGCCCCCTAGCGGACTGACTGAAAGACGAGCAGCCAGGGTTTTAGTATGGAGGCCCAAACGGGACAAAATTTAATGAATAAATACACAAATCAATCATTAATGAAACCATGAAGAGAATTGATCTGTATAGTACGGTAAAGAACAATTACAGTACAGTGATACTACAGTACTGCAGTACTGTTACAGTACAATTTTCATGTATATGCACTTCAGTACATTTAATTGTGGATACGTTTGACTTTCACTTCACTATATTTTATAGGAAGTATCTGTACTTTCTACTTCATTACATTTCTACAAAGCTTTTGTTACTCATTACATCCATCGCACTTCTTTGATTTGTTTGTTAAAATGTGAAGTTCAGGGATTTAAGGAGGCGCTGTAATGTCAATAATATGACCAACTAATTACTGTGTGAGGTAGAATTTGTTAACTAGATCAGCAGATATGACGACATGTATGGACTACATCAAGCTCAAAGAAAGGTAAACTCTGTGGAGGTCATGTTAGCTAAGCTAGCTGTTCAGGGACTAATTGCATTTGAATTATTGTGTGGAGGTGTTGACTGACATGTTGCATATGGGACAACACTTTAAAAAAAAACTTTCTTTACAAATAACAAATATACAGTAGCAGGCAGTAATATGCTGGAGATGCTGAGGTAACAAATCCACAGGATTCATGAGAAAAAATGAAAAATAACACTTTACAAATCAAATTCATCACTTAAGGTTAGAAGTTTCATAGCTTTAGAGTTGATGCACATTTTTAAAGAGTCCATAAAACATCTTACAGAAACTCTAAAAACTGTGAGGTTGGGTTTGTTTTTAGCACATTTGCAGACATGTATGTGAAACTTGGCCAACAGAATATATTCTTACACAGACATACTGTTATTGGAAATACCAAAGAAAACACGCTTAACATTGTAAGGAATACATATTTTACATTTCCAACTAAAGAAAATATTGAAGTCACAGCAAAACGTTTTGCTGAAATTCCCAAAAAAGGGTCAATGTTTTTGGTTCCATGTGACAAAAGGAACAAAGAGATCAATATTTGGGATATATTTATTCAGGACTGAATTTACACCTGCGTAAAACTTTAAGAGACGCCTCCCGTACTTTATTGAGACTAAAAGCCTTTTTGGCAACAAACATGTTTGTTCAATATCTGAATAAAATTGTTCCAATAAAAGACTGAAGCAGGTTTGCTGATAATATTCCTTTGGATTAATTCTCTAATATGTTTATTTGTGGTTCTAATCCTAAGGAACGGCCCACAGTTAATCTGGGATCTTGGATCTGATATGAGAAACTTCAGACCTGCTGGAAAAACATCAAAACAACAGAAAATTCTGTAGGGGAAATTATATTTACTAAGAAATTCACCATAATTAAACAGTCGACATTAAACAATTGTTTACAGATAGAATATCATTTTCCACCCAGTTCTTTGCTTGAAGCTAAAATTTTGGTTATTCCAAATAAAACAGTTATGAGGGGAAAAGTTATGTTTATGAACCAATGTCCAGGATGAAAGTTGTTGTTTAAGGAAGCTGCATAAATGAACAGGGAGCGTTTCTGTTTTGTAGTTACATCTTGATAAAAAGTCTGAGCCACCAGGATTTAAAGACTTGTGCAGGAATCCAGTGACACTTTGAATTAGGATTTTTGAAATATCTTTGGATCCACATAACTGTGAATGTAGAATGTCAGGAATTAAAGTCCAGAACATTGAAACCACCTGAACTTAGTCTATCGATCAGAACATTGTTCCTAATAAGACGGGGCTTTTGCCCAAATGAAATCAAAGATTATTTGATTGCTTTTAGTGCAAAGGCTGTTTGGTACATTCAGGGCTGAACTGGCAAAGTCGAGACGAGAAAGACTTTCAGTTTTGTCCAGCAGGACTCGAGCAGAGACGGCCAACATTTAATCTGCAACCAGAGATTAAATAATTGGACTACAGGTTTTGTTCATTCTTGCTGTTTGCTCTTTAACTATAGTTGACTTCAGACTTAAAGATAATTGATCACAACTATTGATTGGAAGAAGTTCACATTTAGATAAGTTTAAGACCAGATGCTACAGAAAATGGATTAAAAAGTTGAAGTGCAACATCAATTAGAAACTTATCCTGTAAGAACAAAGTTGCATCATCTGCTAGTTGACTCAACAGTTTAGTTTTTCCTGCCGAGATGCTTTTCAGATCATTACTTTTAATAAAAGCTGCTCGAATTTGCAAAGGGAAAAGAAACAAAAAGGGAGATTCGGGGCGTCCCTGATGATTCTGTTATAAATCTTTTGGTTCCATGGGATAATTTTATTAAACTATTTCCATAAGAGAGCAGATTGATTTTGAAAAATCTTTCCAAACTCAAATAATCTGAGGGCTTTGAAGATGAACTCATATTGTATTGAGCCAAATGCCTTTTGAAAATCTAGAAATAAAATCCATTTCTGAATGGTCCAAGATATCAATAACCAATCTTATATGATCAATAATAATAAGCCTTCCAGCCATAAAACTTTCTGAGATTTCTCTATAAAACCACAAACAACTGGCTAAAATGTTGTAATTATTGTTGAATGAACAATATGGGACCAAAGTCTGCAGTGATGCGACATTCACGAACGATCCGATTCTTCTGAACGGCTCTTCACCGTCAGGCCCGGATCCGTTCATGTTCTTCTAACTCTGCAGTAGCTGTAAATACATGCATTGATCTTTATTTAGTGTATCGAGTTCTACTGATCATTAACCCACCATAACGGTCAAAACGCCACATTCACAATAATGAACTGAACGTGAAGAACGTTCCCGTTGAGGGGAGAAATACGGGAGCCCAGGAGGGACAAACAGGGCAGAGAGCAAAAGGAAACCCTAACCAAACAGCGAAGAAAAATAACTAAATGAGATAAAATAGAGCATGAATTAGAAATAATAAAGCACATTTATTACATGAATAAATCAAACAGCAGCTCAGAGCTCTGATTGTTTGGGTCACTTGTCACGGTGGCGAGAGTCAGACTGAGAAACGGTTCGGGTCGCCTTGTGCTTGTTGCTTCTTGGTCAGTGATCAGTTTACCATTCGACGTCTTTGTTGCTGTTTGGTGGTTTCTGACTTGGGCAACCGCCCAGGGCGTTATGTTGTTCAGGTGGAACAAACCTCTGCGGATTGTGGCACAAAGATGGAAGCAAAGCAGAACAAAGACTGAATTGATAATGATGTTGGTTAAACTTACTCCTGCTCTAGGTATTTAATATCTAGGTGTTTTTATGTGGATCTTTCAGCTCAATTTAAGAAGCAAGTTTAATCATATTTCACATTTTATTGTGTCATGTCGCGCAGGGCGCTGGTCTTGGTCTCGCTGCTCTGCAGCGCTGCTGTCCCAAGTCGGACTCCTCTTCCCCAGTGGGACGTCCTCCCCCACTTCCTTCTTTTCACCCCCTTCCTGTTGGATTTCTTTCAAAATAAATGCCCTAGGCCAAAAAGTGAACTTCATGCTATAATAGGACAGGAGACCCCATATTCCACGTGTTACGTCTGTTTAAAGTTCCTGTTTTCAGGGAAACAACTTTCTGTTGAATGTGTTTATTTTATGTTAATGAAACATTTCAAAGATTTAATAATTCCTCTCATTTTGTCTAATCACATTAAACTCTGCAGGTCATCCCTGAAATTCTGATGCACAGAATCACAAGTCTAAATCTAAACACAATAAAATCATGTTTTATCTGCAGCATTACTCATGTACTCCTGTATTAAAATTAAATAGGTACATTGAATACTATTGTATTACCGATTAGGTGATACATTCAGCCAGTAGTTTCACTTTCAATACTTTAAAATTAATAAAATACTTTAAATTTCAGTTATGTCAGCAAATGCAAGTCCGGTGTAATTATATGCATGTTAAAAACATGACACAATAACCAAATATCAAGCAAACAGATCATTAAATGCATAATAATTTCATGGTTCCTGCAGCATCAACAGGAAATCATTTTAGCTGCCACACTCCGAGGGGCGGGGCTTGTGACAGTCATGGTGCTGCAGAGGTGATGAGGTGTCACCACAAGAGGGCGCCTATTCCTTTTGTTGTACTTCTGTACAGAGACCAGAGTAAGAACTCGTCTTCCATGTTGTAGAGGAGCTGATGAGGTGCAGATCAGCAAACCTCTGTAACGTTCAGCAGAGTGGAGATCTTCAACTGCTGCTAACTCCTCCCACCTTTCACCGCACCGTCACTGGCTGTGGGATGGGGGCGGAGTTTGGGATTGTGGCGGGGCGGTGGGCGGGGCTAACCATCAGGCAGTCCACTAGTTCTTGTTGATGTTTGGAAAATCCTGGCAAGTCTTAGAATGGACGACTTTCAAGAACCTGTTGTATAGATTTTATTGCTGGCAGAAGACAGAACAGGGAGTCGGGTCCGGGTCCAATGAGCCCTGATCCATCCGGCACTGTGATTTTCAAACAATCAGGCTAAACTTTTAGATTAGTGCCACAGATCCTCAGTTTGGATGGGCAAGTTTGACACATAAAATGATTTCTGCTCATTATTTTAAGTTTGACTTCATGACACATTTAATTAATGATTGAATATAGTTAATTATTTTGTCTCTTCCTATGTGAGAAGCTCCAGAACAGAGTTGGATCAGAACATGATTCACACTTTTCACTGAGATGAAAGAAACAGAAACAATAAATCAATAAAGATTCAATGCCCCAAATCAATTATCGAAATGTGTAAATAGGAAACTGGATTATATTTATTGACTTATAATCAGTTTGAATTGAATTTTCTACATTAATTACAAATAAGGCATTAACCCGACTCCAGTCAGCCAATCAGAAGCCTCCATACCGAACAGCTGAGGCTGTTAAGGGAGGAAGATGAAGCGATGAAGAGGATGGACAACAAACACACCAGACTGAATGAACCGTTTATATTTGTGGTTCTGCAGGCAGAAAATGAACAGAACAGGAAGTAGAAACAATAAATAAGACACTTGACCAAAGTTAAAAACTGTTACTAGGCAACAGAGACGAGCTGATGTCATCGATAAGATATTTGGTTGAGTTTCTTTCATGGTCACGTTTAATTTGTGCGTCATGCCAGATGTGAATGTTTCAGGGAGCCCCGCCCCCTCCGAGGGGTCAGGGAGGGGTCAGGGAGCCCCGCCCCCTCGGAGGGGTCAGGGAAGGCCCCGCCCCCTCGGAGGGGTCAGGGAGGGGTCAGGGAGCCCCGCCCCCTCGGAGGGTCAGGGAGCCACGCCCTTTGCCCTCTGGTCTCAGTCCAGGTCCTGAACTCGACGGCAGATTTCCGCTGTGAACTCGGAGCACTTGGAGTTTCCTCCCAAATCCTTGGTCAGCACCTGCAACAGCAGCACCGATCATTTAGCAAGTGATTCAATTTAAAGAGCCTCGTGATGAAATCTGACACAGATGGATCAAATCATTATGACCAATCAGAACCGCCTCACCTTCTTCTCCTTGATGGTGTCGAAGCACGCCGTCTGGATCTTGGCGGCGTGTTGGTGCAGCCCCATGTGGCGCAGCATCATGACGCCGCTGAGCAGCAGGGCGGTCGGGTTGGCCAGGTCCAGGCCCGCGATGTCCGGGGCGGTTCCGTGCACCTGCGGGACACGCAAGTTGGGTTCACTGTCCCTCACATACTGGTTCCGATTCTGGAGACGCAGAACCCGGCCGGCATAGCGCCCCCTGCTGGGGTCTGTTAGGACTGCGCCACGTCTGCTGGTTCTGATCCAATCTCCTTTCTGAACGACTGGTGGGTCCAAAAGGTTTTAGACTTTGACCAGGATGATCCTCGGCTGTTTCTCAGACCCCACAGGACTTGGAACAAGCGACCCCGTGACCCCACCCCGGATAAATGGAAGAAGAGGGATGGATATTAATAATGCTAATAATAACAATAATAATTATTATCATAATTATGATGAATGTATTTATTATTATTATTAAAATGGAGGAAATGACTGATTTTTTCAATCAGAATGAATAAACTGGACCCAACTGAGATCTTGAACAACCTTCTTTACAATCCGCTTGTTGAACCCAGACCCAGTGGGTCGGGTTACTGACACCAGAACCACCAGGACAGCCGAACTGGATCGTTCTGCGGCTCTCACCGACTCAAAGATGGCGACTCCGTTGGCGCCGATGTTCCCGCTGGGAGTGACTCCTAGTCCCCCAATCAGACCAGCACACAGGTCACTGAAACACACAAGGTCACCTGAGGTCAGCGCTCAGATCCCAGCCCTCTGATTGGCCGACGGTGTGTTGCTGACCTGAGGATGTCTCCATACAGATTGGGCATGACCAGGACATCGAACTGGGTCGGGTCCTGAACCATCTGGAAGAACACGAGACAGGTTAAAGGGGAGGCGTTTCCCAGATCTGGGTCAGAACCGGTTCCGTTTGGACTCACATTGAGGCACACGGTGTCCAGGTACATCTCTGTGAACTTCACGTCCTTGAAGTTCTCCGCCACCTCCCTGCACTTCCTGAGGAACAGCCCGTCCGACATGCGCCTGCAGAGAGACGGCATCAGCGTCGGTCCGGCCCGGATCTCCAGAACCACAGAGAAGCCGACCGGGACCGCGGCCTCACATGATGTTGGCCTTGTGGACGGCCGTCACGCTGCTCCTCTGGTTGTTCCGGGCGTACTCAAAGGCGTACTCCGCGATGCGTCTGCTGGCGTCCTCCGTGATCAGCTTGATGCTCTGAACGACGCCGTCCACGATCTGGAACAACCGGACCAGAACCACACCATCAGCGCTCCGACGGACTGGAGGAGGAACCGGCAGGAACTTCCCTCCTCCTAGCATTAGCTTCTGCTAACACATAACTTCCACAAGTGTTTAGCTTATGTCCAGGCTTGTTGCAAGTTATCACCAGCAGGGGCAGCACAGTTATTATTAGGGGAGGAAATCTCTGTAGTTATGTAGTATAAACATTAGCCTGCTCACAGTGAAGCATGGTGGTGGCAGAATCAGAATGTGGGAGCTAGGATCAGAAAGAGAGATGGTTCTAAAAGGAACCAGAACCGGGCCAGAGGTTGAAACCACAAATGTCCGAGGAACACAGAGAACTCCTTCTACTACTCACCACGTGTTCGATGCCGCTGTACTCGCCCTCCGTGTTCTCCCGGATGGTGACCAGGTCCACGTCTGTGTACGGCGTCCTGTAGCCCTCGATGGAGACGCAGGGACGCACGTTGGCGTAGAGGTCAAAGGTCTTCCTGAGCAGCAGGTTCATGGACGGATGACCGGCAGCGATGGGTGTCTTCAGAGGACCTGGAGGAGGAGAAGCCAGATCGGTGAGCAACAGGAGCAACATCACTGCAGAATCGCCGTTAGCCGCATGGCTAGCAGTGATGTCAGACCACCTGCTTCAGTAGCGAGTCATCTATCGCGTTGCTATTTCCAATCCAGACGTCAGTAGTCAGGTAATTGTCCAAATCACTGTGTTGCTTTTTTTTTTTATTGAATTTCATTTGCTTGATGCGTCTTGCGGAGTTTCCACCGTTTCAATGCATCAGCAGCAACAGAAACAATGGAGAAAAACAGGAACTACGTATTCTGAGTTTCTGGGTTGAACTTGTTTCTCTCTCAAAGCCAGAAGTAAAGTGGTAGCAGCAACGTTCCTGCCACGTTTTATATAAATGCTTCGACCAAATGCCCTCAGTCATTGAACACTGAGCATCATTAAGGGTAGCAGACGTTTGACGCATCATTTTATGCAAAAGCTGAACGGCCTCCTTTAAGCGAACGGAGAAACAATCAGCTGATGATCTTGATTTATCAACCTGCACTCGGCTTCGCTGCGGCACACTGAAGCTCTGTCACATGGATCTATCTGTTGGTTCTCATTCCTTATGCTCTAATAACATTTTTCTTTTGCATGTTCCACATGTTGGAACTGAAAAGGAAAGCAAGCGTTCAGCGTGAGGGAATCAGCTGCAGTTTGAACTCAGGATGTCAGAATTGAAGTTTCTTGTTGTTTTACACTTGTCCACATTTATTCACTAGTTTTATCTTGTAACCAGGTTGCTGGGTATTGCAGACTTCTGCTCAGGTCTTTACCTGGTTAAATAAAGGATATTTTTACAAACATTTAAAAAATATAAGGAGCTATGGGATTGTTTTTTTTTTTCAAAGTTGCTTGCAAATTTAATGAGTCACAAGTTGCACTTTTTGGGCTCGTTTTTGAACGTCAAGTTGCTCATTTGGGGTTTTTAAATAAGCAGAGCCTCATAATAAACCCCAGAATGTGTTTTGCTCCATCATTTCCCGGATGATCCGTCCCGCTGCGTCTATTCATGTCAAGTTCAAATATGACCAGTGAACGACGTGAAGCTTCGCGTTGAGCTCCAGAAACTGAAAACATGAAAAACTAATATGAACAGAGCAACGAACCTGAATGAACTGAAACAGCCACGAATGAACGAGTCCGTGAAGTTGTGCATCTAAATGGCATCAATGTAATATTCTCAAGAGGCGACGTGACTAAAACTAACCTAAACTAAAAAAGTTACTTTCAATGTAACTTAATTACTTTCCAGATCAAGTAATCAGGAATCAAAGTTTCTGTTTCAAGGACTAATCAGGAATCCAACTAAAGTTACTTTTACAAAGTAACTGCCATCACACATCGTTAGCCTAGCGTTAGCTTCAGCTGCATTGTTAGTGGCGCTGTTATGGTCAGCAGCATCATTAGCAGCATCGGTAGCAGCATCATTAGCAGCATCGGTAGCAGCATCGGTAGCAGCATCATTAGCAGCATCGCTAGCAGCATCATTAGCAGCATCGGTAGCAGCATCATTAGCAGCATCATTAGCAGCATCGGTAGCAGCATCGGTAGCAGCATCGGTAGCCACATTAGAACCTTTCAGGCCGATCTTGCTGCATGGACATGGGCATCTGCAGGGATCATCCACTTCCCTCCGGGTCCCTTGATGGCCGTCACGTTCCTCTCCTCCCACTGGACCGGAGCCTGCGGGGGAAAACTCGGTTCAGTTCTCCATTCCGGATCCAGAGGCCCAGTTCTGGTCCAGCGTCGACTCACCTTAGCAGCGTCAAAGATCTTGACCACGGCAGCAGAAATCTCTGGGCCGATGCCGTCTCCTGGAATCAGCGTCACCGTCTGTATCTATAACCAAACAGAACCGGTATCAGTTCCTCTGGACTGCCTCAGAACCACCTGGACCCGGATCAGACTAAGCTTGGTTTCGGTCTAGCAGACCAGAACCAGCCCTCCTTCAGGAGGCTCCAGCAGGACAGCACAGAGAGGTTCTGTGTAGAACAGACCCAACACAGACCTGTGGTTCTGTGCCTCCTCCAGAACCACAGGCGCAGGACGGTCCAAGTGCCATCGGATCAGAACCGGGTCACCACTGGACGCAGGCAGAGCGGCTAAGAAGCTGCTCCTGCCCAGGACAACCGTCCAGAACCAACTGGACTTACCTAAAGACCATAAACCGTTGTTGGGCTCAGGTCAGAGGTCAGACCTGTGAAGGTACTAAACTTAAAGCAGTATGAAAGGAACTGGGACTGGAGGTGCTGGTGCAGACCCGGTTCTGAGACCCAGTTCACTCACCCCTCTGGAGAAGGAAGAGACAGCTGGCCTCCTGTTGGCTCCGCCCATCACCTGGCTCACCTGCAGCAGACAGGAAGCAGCATTACTTCACCTGAACAGCTAAACACAGATCAGTTAATCAATCGCATGTTCAATCATTTATTTTCTAACTTTGTGGCTCCGGCACCGAAAATTTTGAATTGAAATAAAAAAATGTAAAAACACAAAAACAATCAGAACAAAGTAAACTAAAAACAAAGTTTTAATCAGATGTTCAGCGCAGAAACGTTATCACTTTGACAAGATTCACGCTGGACGCCAAAATGGACGCCATGCTGGACGCCACGCTGGACGCCGCGTTGGACGCCAAAATGGACGCCACGCTGGACGCCGCGTTGGACGCCATGCTGGACGCCGCGTTGGACGCCAAAATGGACGCCATGCTGGACGCCACGCTGGACGCCATGCTGGACGCCAAAATGGACGCCATGCTGGAGCCTCAAGAGATGAAATGACAGCCATTGATCTTCTGCTGACATCATCTGTTGATTCAAACTACAACTGAATGACCACATGATTCATGCTGTAAAATACCGTTTCACACTATGTGAATACATGAAGCATGTCATCTTCATGATTTATTTCAGTTTCTCTGCATCAAATCAATTATTTCTCTATTAATACGTTTCATTCAAGACGCTCAGTGTTCGTCTCTTCTGCAGAACTTCCCAGCAGAACTCAGGCGGGACCAGAAACCCGCAGATCGGAGGTATTGGATCCGGCTGGTCCTGACAGTCAGGATTGGAACCAGTCATTATGGGAAATCATGTGAACACTGAATGAATTTCGCTGAGGTTTTCAGTGAAGCTGCTCAGTTTGTCATGCTGTCTGCTGTGAAGGAGGTTAAACTTACATTAGCCAGCAACAGGTGGGGGGAGGGCAGCCCAGCATCAAGAGGAAACATTTGTAAACAATGATGGATCTGCCTGGTTTATAGCTCTGTCCTGCACTGAGAGGTCAAGGTTCAAACTAACAGGAGCTCTGTTGCTACACCTAAACATCACTTCCTGTACACGTGTTGGAATGAGTGATGCGTTCAATGTCGGCCGAAATTAAGAGAGACACCCCACCTTCTTTTCCTGACATTTGACCCTTTAATCTTGTGTATAGGTTTCAGTCCAACTCGAAGGAAATCTTAAATTAGTCACTTTTAAACGGAGTCTGGTGTCGCTGAGGCTAAGCTAGCTTCCAGCGTCTAGTTCCAGTGGTTCCGAGGATGAACGGGACAAACTGGCCGAGCAGTGAGCAGCACAGCCGACTCATGACTCCAGACAGACGAGGGAACATTTCTGGATGAAGCTGAGGGAACTTCTCCTGAAGGACACCAGCTAACAGCTAGCAGGCTAACAGTGGCGTCAAAACCCTGATTTAACCCGAACAGAAACCCGGAAGCTTCGGTTCCCACAGAGAGCCCCTAACGAACCTCGCCGAACCCGCAAAGCTGCGGCGGAACCACGAGTAGAGACTTTCCAACACTCCCAGAACATTTTCCACTTACCAGTGACCTCCACACGCTGCCTGCTGCCATCCCAGCAATAACCTGAGATCCTCCGAGTGCGAGATGGCTCACTACGAACAGCCCGCCACAGAACGAAGATCCTATGACTGAAAGATGCCTCACTGCTTCATTAAAATGGGATACTTTCATTCAGAGGGGAGCAAAGCGGGGAGCCCCATGGGGGCCCCTTGTTGAAGCCCAGCTTGGAACCCTGCCCTCATGCTCCTGCCCTTCCCGATTCACCCGGAGGGTCAGGCCACTATGCGCGGGCCTCTAACCGTGGAGGTGCAGGTGATTCTTCCTCGTGGGTTAGGTTTGTGTCCTTAGCGCCACCTGCAGCTCTGATGTTTCCCTTCCTGCTGCCACCTTCCGGATCACAGCCACGGTGGACGTTCCTGCTTCCCAGCAGGTTCCTGGAGGTCCAGATGGTGGCTGGGTGAGCAACATCTCCCCCCCCCCCCCCCTGGCAACGGTGGGAATTGCAACGATCCGGGCTTTGCCAACAGGTTCACAGCAGGGGCCTCCCACAGCATGGGCCTCCCACAGCAGGGGCCTCCCACAGCAGGGGCCAGATGTCTTCAGCACTGACCGTCTCATTGGACATCCTGACTATCACTGAGTTGTCAGTCAGTTTCTCAATATTAAATATTGAAACTGTTTCTTTCACTTTCAATCTGAATCCAAAATGCCTTCAATAATGCAGACGAACAAAAACTTTTGTCATATCCTCTGCTGAAAGGCAGGTGAGGATACAGTTCAGGTCATTTGGCTGAAACTTCAGCCTTTGTTGAATCAATTTTCTGGATAAATCCAGTTTGACATTCCTGTTGACTTACGCTGTGGCTCCGCCGCCACGGTGGAGGCAAACCCGTTACAGGACAAAACCTTCACTAAGAACCAATAAAAAACCAAATACACAAATATATACACAACTAAAGTCACAAAGATTACCACCATCTCCACCCAATGGAGGGGAGGAGCTGGTGTCCTAGTCAAAGGCCAAGACGCGACAACCCATTTTATTGGGGGGAGGAAACCATTTCAACCTCGATCTTCCTCGATCATCCTGTTTTGACTCGTGGTTCCAAACATGTAACATATTATTATATGCTATATAATAATATGTTATTATATGCAGCGGAAAATAAAGACAATGATGTGAATGAAACTAAAAGCTGGTGAGCAAAAGGAACAGATGTTCATTTCTAGTCACGTGATTCGCTGAGCTCCAATAGAAAACATGGCAGGTTTTATCCTCACATTTAAATACATGTTATGTGTACAAGTCATGGCATCTCACGTCATTACAATGACTGCAGCTGTTTGGTGGAAATCAACTGAGACGACAGCGCCCCTAGTGGAGATTAAGGGTCTGTTCAGCACAAACAAAATGGGTGTGAAGGTTTTTCTATTTTCTTGTTGAGGGGCACAAACACATAAAAATAAGTAAATAATAATCATTTAAGAAACGATGCCCTCCAACAAAGAGGCTCTTGGGGAATCAAGGATGAAAAGGGCAGGTGCTGAAGCCCCGCCCACTCTGATTCCACAGGTTCTTATTGGCTTAAATAAAGTTCAACAAAAATAAAAAACTAACTCTGCATCAACGCATTGTTTCTAGAATATTTTGCTATTGTATGAAACTGATTGTGTAGTTATTTGACTCTCCATTGAGGCAAACCAGGTGAGGCTCTGTGCTGCCTTCAGGTGTTCTCCAAACGATCAGTTTCTCCAGTTTCACCTGAGTAAAATTCTTACTTTCACTGATAAATTCTTTACTTTGGCCCAGATTTAGTTTAAGTTTTGTTTTATCATGTCTGTGCTGTTCATAACACATGAGGATAAGTTGTTTCATAAATATTTAACTCAACAAAAATGTTTCTGTAAAACAAATAAAAGCATACTGAAATTGTAAAACAAAATCTAATTGTAATAAATTGTAAAAATAATTTTTAGCATTTCTCTGTCGGGCTCCTGGAAGGCAGATTTTCCCAGCAGCACCTGAAAGCATCAGGGCAGTGTACCACTCCTCCTCCAGCAGAAGGAGCATCATCCTGGGAGCCGGATGCAGAGCCTCCGCCTGCATGTGGGGGAGTCTCCAGTGGGATGCAGCTCTGTGATGGGACGATCCGCCGCGCACCATGGGCAACAAGCAGACGACCTTCACCGAGGAGCAGCTGGAGGCGTATCAGGTCAGCCGCAAATAAATCACGACGCTTCACAGCCAAACCAGGCAGGATGGAGCCGTGGCTGCTGATTGGATCCCTGGAGACAGATCCTCACCGTTTCTCTGCTTGTTTACAGGACTGCACCTATTTCACCCGGAAGGAGATCCTGAGGTGAGTCCACACAGACGACTTCCTCACTGAGGAGGAGGAGGAGACAGGAGACATCGGAGACATTGTCTCAGCCACAAACCAGACAGAAACAGCCTGAACAACTCTGCTCTGGGGTGACAGGTCAGGTAGAGTCCAGGTAAGCAGAAATAGCAGCCAGAACCAGAATAGACGTGTGGAGCTCTGCGATCCAGAGGTGTCTCCAGAGACGGGGACGGTGGGCGTCGTCGTGTTGCCGCAGTGAGAGAGTGTTGAGGACAGGTGGACAGGTGGCTGTTCCTCGCAGATGTTCTGGTCATGTGACGAGGACTTTTGATGGATTTATGAGACAAATACTACAGACAGAGAGGAGGAGAAGTTCTTCAAAGGAATTATTCATGAATCATGAAACCAAAGAGGATAGAAAAGAAATTGATTCAGTCCTGGAAGGTGTGACCAGAATCAGATTTACTGGTGGGACATGGACAGCATCATGAGGACAGACAGGACGTCTCACTGTGTCTAGTTGCAGTGGTATCTGCAGTCAGCAGGGGGCGGCGTCAGGACGGGTGGGCCGTTGTCTCACGGTGCGTCCTCTGTGCTCTGCAGCCTCCATGGACGGTACCGGGAACTGGCTCCACACCTGGTACCGCTGGACTACACCAACAACCCGGACATCAAAGTCCCAAAGGCGCTCATCGTCACCATGCCGGAGCTCAAGGTAAGCAGGTCCACCAACCGGTCCTCCAGAACCGGGTCCGACAGAACCCGGTCCGACAGAACCTGGTCCTCCAGAACCTGGTCCTCCAGAACCTGGTCCTCCAGAACCCGGTCCTCCAGAACCCGGTCTGACAGAGGCAGATGGTCTCCAGTGATGTGTGTGTATGCATGCGTGTGTGTGTGTGTGTGTGTGTGTGTGTGTGTGCATGCGTGTGTGGTGTGTGTGTGTGTGTGTGTGTGCATGCGTGTGTGTGTGTGTGTGTGTATGCATGCGTGTGTGTGTGTGTGCAGGAGAACCCGTTCAGGGACAGGATCGTGGAGACGTTCTCTGAGGACGGACAGGGCAACATGAGCTTCAATGACTTCGTGGACATGTTTTCAGCTCTCTGTGAAACGTCGCCCAGAGAGCTGAAGACCATCTATGCCTTCAAGATCTACGGTAGGACGCTCTTTCGTTCTCTCTGAGAATCACTGCAGAATAAAACCTAAACTTGTTCAAATCTGAGGCTCAGCTGTGATGAAGATCAAACTTTCCTTCGCCACTTCAGTCCGATCTTTGGTTCCTGCTGGCAGAAAGTCGCTGCATTTCTGTTACCAATGGGCGCCAAGCTTTTTCAATACTCTGCTAAACACTGTTGTGCAAATTGTTTCCATTGAATAAGAAATTCCATTACAATCATTGTGATTTATAAGCTTGTTCACGTGGAAACACTGGAGTTTCCACTGACCATAAAATTGCATAAAGTGGAATTATGAAAATAAATTTGCTCAATATAAACATACCAGTTTTGATCAAACGCTGGTTTTATGCCAATTCCTGTTTCACCAGATGGAACAAGATGGAGGCGTCAGAGTTTAGTGATTTGGCTGAAGACCAGGAGCCATTTCTGCTGCTAGCGCTAGGCTAATGCTAGCTCTGGTTGGATTTACCCAGAATGCCCTGCGCTGTAGTCACTTCCTGCTTTTAGCGCGGTCTCCGGTCCGCTTGGCGTTCACATTCAAACCGAACCCAGACCGAGGTCTGCAGGACCAGAGGTCAGAGGTCGATTAGCGTTCACACCAACCGAACCGGAATTAGATTGAAATGGAAGCACCTAAAAAGTTTCAAAGATGTGAACATTTCTGTCCAAACAAAGAGTTACATTGTTATTATAAATACAGTAATAATGGCCTCTGATTACCCAGCCGAGTCTCAGAAGGTGATTTTCAGTTTTGTTTATTTTATTAGACGCAGATCATCAATACAAAACTTACACAAATAACAAAACAAAACGTCACCAGGAAAAAATAACTGTTAGTTTCTTTGTGCCAAACATCTGACAGTTCAAGTCATTCATTGGTACAAAAACGCTGCCAGCTTTAAGCTTTGATTGGCTATGGCAGCCTGGGAGGGACATGCAAATTAAAGAAACATTTACAAAGAGCAAATACCATTAAACAAAACAAAATATAAACCAACAGTGTTAATCAAAACAAACATCCATAAACAATCTGCAAAATCTGGTAATTCATGTCAAATAATTTAGAACATTTACTGTGAATAATATACAAATTTACCTTAAATCGTCTATAATTTGAAATAATTTACACAATTTCTTTTGAGTTATTTATTATCTATTATGATGAAAATAACTGACAGCATTTTAATAAATGAAATGAAATGAAAAGCAGAATCTGAGCTGAGCTACTGTGTGTCTTCCTGCTCCAGACTTTAACAGGGACAACTTCATCTGCAAGGAGGATCTGCAGAAGACCCTGAACAAGCTGACCAAAGGGGAGCTGACCCCAGAGGAGGTCAGGCTGGTGTGCGACAAGGCCATGGAGGAGGCCGACCTCGACGCCGACAACAAGCTCTCCTTCTCAGACTTCGAGAACATGATCTCCAAAGCTCCAGACTTCCTGAGGTAACTTCCTGTCTCCGGCCAACATTTCACCCAGAACCGGGTCAGAGAGGAAACATCAAATGGGCTCATTAGTGGGAATAAAAGATCAGAACAATTGGTTAAAAGTGTGCGATCTGTCAGTGAGGCGGACGTTAGAGACTCCACAGAGCGCCACCTCCTGATCATCCGTCACCTGATCAATAACGGCCTTTAACTGAGCCACGCCGAGCGGAACCGGCCAAACAATCGGATCAGAGCCATA